AAAGACAGAAATCTGCTGAGTCACTGATAAAGACTAGAATCTGCTGAGTCACTGATAAAGACAGAAATCTGCTGAGTCACTGATAAAGACTAGAATCTGCTGAGTCACTGATAAAGACAGAAATCTGCTGAGTCACTGATAAAGACTAGAATCTGCTGAGTCACTGATAAAGACAGAAATCTGCTGAGTCACTGATAAAGACGGAAATCTGCTCAGTCACTGATAAAGACAGAAATCTGCTGAGTCACTGATAGACAGAAATCTGCTGAGTCACAATAAAGACTAAAATCTGCTGAGTCACGATAAAGACTGAGAAATGCTGAGTCATGATAAAGACTGAGATATGCTGAGTTACGATAAAGACAGATATTCTGAGTCACAATGAAGACTAAAATCTGCTGAGTCACAATGAAGACTAAAATCTGCTGAGTCACGATAAAGACTGAGATATGCTGAGTCACTGATAAAGACTGAAATCTGCTGAGTCACAACAAAGACTGAAATCTGCTGAGTCACTGATAAAGACTAAAATCTGCTGAGTCGCTGATAAAGACTGAGATATGCTGAGTCACTGATAAAGACTGAAATCTGCTGAGTCACGATAAAGACTGAGANATGTTGGAACAGACATGTAATCCACCAAATGAGATCATTTCAGGCTCCCATTGGTTGAGTTGGATTATCTACTCTATGAGAGCTGTCAGGAGTCAATCTTCACCGGATAGGAAAAATGATTTTGATACTTAAACATGACTCAGCTGAACTCTTGGTGTACTGGCAGCCTGAGAAATCACTGGAGAGACGAGGCTGTTCGCTCTTTCTAAAGTCGACCACTGGACCACAGGTAAGGCAGTTTAGCTCAGTTAGCTCCTTTAGCTTAGCAGCTAAGAGCAACCATAATCAAGACTGTTTGACTGGATGCTAACCCCCAACCAGCCGGTCGAGGCAGATGGTCTCCTGTCCTGAGCCTGGTTCTGCTGGAGGTTTCTTCCTGATTAGCAGGAAGTTTTTCCTCTCCACTGTTTGCTCAGGATGGGAGACTGTGATGAAGTGATTCAACACAATCTGCTGSTTTCTTCTTTACATTGTTCTTTTTATCTACAGTGTCCTGAGACAACGGATGTTGGGACTTGGTGCTGTATAAATAAACTGAACTGAATAGTTGGCAAAGATATTTTATCAATGGACAGTTCCATATAAAGACAAAAATTTAATATATCATTATTTCTGTGACCTCTGACCTCTGACAYGAACCATCAGTCCTGCAGCAGGGACACATTAAATGTTTCAGCTCATTTTATTGGTTGTTTGGCTTCATCGCTTAGGTTCAGGTATCAATGCTGAGTCACTGATAAAGACTAAAATCTGCTGAGTCACTGATAAAGACTAAAATCTGCTGAGTCACTGATAAAGACTGAGATATGCTGAGTCACTGATAAAGACAGAAATCTGCTGAGTCACTGATAAAGACTAAAATCTGCTGAGTCACTGATAAAGACTGAGATATGCTGAGTCACTGATAAAGACAGAAATCTGCTGAGTCACTGATAAAGACAGAAATCTGCTGAGTCACTGATAAAGACAGAAATCTGCTGAGTCACTGATAAAG